TAATGCCATCCATGACGAAGGTAATCCCTGAAGAAGGGGTACAGGGGCACAAAGGATAAACACAAATCTCTAAACACAGCTAGGTAACTGGTTCGCGACAGAAAAAACCGCCTAGTCCTAGTATTTAACCAGGATCATCTCCTTTTCCAGTAGAGCGCTCTACTAACTAAGCTTACCAGGAGTTAGATGTCAGTAGAGCAAATTCATTTTCTCAGCTGCCACCAACCTAAAACCAACAAGGGTGAACCTCCTGCATTTTAAGGTTATCAAGATAATGCAATAACGTATTTTTCGTCATTCTTGTCCAGCTCGCTTGCACCTTTGCATAGATTGCGTTATCATCATAACCATAAAATGCAGGCGTTCACCCTTGTTGCTGTATGGCTGGTGACAGCTGATAAAACGCGTTTGCTCCACTTACGTCTATCTCCTGGTTAGCGAAGTTGGTAGAGCGCTCCACTGGAAGTGAAGAGGTACCTGGTTCCATACCAGGACCAGGAGAATTTTTTCGGTCGCGCACCAGTCACGTTTGGAGATTTGTCTTTGTCCCTTCTCCAGAGATTATTTTTGTCATTCTTGTCCAGCTCGCTTGTACCTTTGCATGAATTGCATTATCATAATGACATTCGCTTGTTGGGAGGCACACTAATAGTTCATCTAGAATTGTTTATGAAAAACAGTAAAAAAACGTTCGGAAGTAATTGCTTTCTGGAACATGTTTTAGGTTAGGCTTACACGTTAGTCAACCACAATCAGAGGGCGAGCGAAAAACACACCTGAGCCAGTGAATGGGTAGGACATGAGACGAGACCGACGACTGCTTAAGAGTCGAGACCGGAACTCTCAGCGGCTGATAGGTACCCGGTATGTCTTGCCCACTCTCGCTGGATACGGTGTACTGATCACATCCTTACTTCTGCTACTAATATCACAGAAATGTCATAACATACGTCATCTACCTGACACATACTCGTACACGTTATTGTTCTTCATGTCACGGGTGAGCTGATCTGTGTGATTCTCGATTCGATGACATCACACGCGCTGACAAAATGCACCCAAAAAGTGATTTCATTATTTTTTTATACATTCAAATACTAAATGTTTTATTATGTATTACGGTGAAAACTCTGCCACGCTTTTGTTCATAACGAGCTTTTCGGTAAAGTATACTAGATAACCGAAATACTAAAACATAGAGAGGACGAAACACAGACGAATACATTCTTTCAACTCACAACAAAGTATATCGGCAAGTAGGAACCTACTGGCAGTAAGCGTCGTTGAGCATATTGCATGGTTCCAGTTTTCGTATGTCGCAAAATGTAGCATCACTTTCATTTCGTTTTCAGACTTGCTTCGGTGCTCTCTGGCTTCATATCAACTGTGGAAGTCGAGGTAATCTACTGCGACTTCGAGGCGGCCGGGATTGCAGCGTATCGCAGGCATTTCTCAAGTGAGGGCTCAAGGATGTTTCTTTCGTCCCTGCCAATCGGTGTATACCGGAAGCTGTGCAAGTTGGGCAAGCAAGCGTGCTACTGCCAAGACGAAGATGTTGCTGGTACGGCAATTATGTCCTATTCTTTAAGCTTGAAAGTTTTCCATAACCATATTGATACTCTACTATTCCACTTACCGTGTCATGAAGTTTCCCAGAAAAATGCGTTCCACTTTTGGAACGTCATATGCTGTAGCATATTTTCACAAATTAACAATTTTACTGAGCCTGATCACCAAAAAAATAACTTTAAACGCCGAATTTTTCATTCCTTTATTAGCTCTTAAGTTCTAAGCATTCTCGTTACTTATTTCATTCAATCACTACGGTTCGTTCATCTGCATATTATGATTATTATCTTGTAGCATACAAAGAGTGCGTAAACAACCAGTTGTGTCGCTGCTCTTTTCTTCACGCGCCAAAATAGAAGGTTTACAAATACATATGCTCACAGAATCAAAAAAAGGGGGGCATTTCAAGCCAATACAGTATTCCATGGACGTATATGCCTATAAGTATTGTCATTTTTAGATGCTTCCCAACCTGTAGGCCTTCCTGAAGTGTCTGAAGCAGGGATGGGCAGTATTTCAAATACTTTGTGTATTTTTCATTTGTATTTATTACAAATTGGGTAATGTATTTGACGTGTGTATTTAAATACTAAAACGTGGGTATTTCAAATACAATTGTAATTAAATACAATTTTGTGGGCGAAAATACATCCCTCAAATTTATTGTCACTGTTCAGAGCAGGAAGAAAACTACGTTCTGCATCGAATGCAGTGTCTTTCAATCAAGCACAAGCGTTTAGTGACTTTGTGATTACGCTGCTAGTCCAGGGCAAGAATAGTGACGAAACCGACGTTCACAGGCAGACTGCCTAAATAAGTGCCTGTGACAACTTGTGGTGCTTTCCAGTCTGATTTCCATACATATTTTTGCCTGGAACATTCTAAATGCACGGGTCGTCCAGATTTTTGTAACTAGTGCGAGTTGCAACAATAAAACCTTTTCTAGCTAGTGCTGCGCGTCTTGGTCGTCTCGGTTCTTTGTTGGTCTATTGGCGACGAGCGCAACCGAAAGCGTCGCTGTGGTCGGCCTTCCACGATTGGCCGAACGCTGACTTATGACGTCGGAAAGGGTATATCATCGACGGAAATAAGAGGAATGAAAGAATTTTAATTTTGACGGTGTTGGAAGTGTTCTTTTGAGAGCGCAATGATTTCAAGCTTCCACCATGCTATTTACAAACACCATCGAACTTGTTGTTTGCAAGGTAATGACGTCACAAAGGGGAACCGTAGGAGGGCGCCACCATAACTTCTCGCCGCTAATACCAAAATGTAATCGACAAAAAAAGCTGCTTGAAGCTCTGTACTTTTTTCACCTATTACGTCCAAGCTGATTACATTTTTTTTTTTTTGTGATTATATTTCTATTACGTTACTAGAGCCTCGCACACTGACTCCTGAGTGTGCGATGCAAAATTGAAATGAGATACCCAGAAACCCGTTGCGGGTGCCCTGAAGTCGCTGACGCAAATTTTGAGGAATGTATTTGGAAAAGTATTTGGAGGAGACCAAATACATTTGGTTGTATTTGTATTTTGTAATTAAATGCTTTTTTGGAAATGTAATTAGATTTGTAATTAAATACATTTTTGACGAAGTATTTTGCATTTGTATTTCGATACATATTTGCATGTATTTTGCTCATCCCTGGTCTGAAGGATGAACAAGCCTACCTCTGCACTACAGCTGGCTGCGGGACAACAGCCACCGCGTCTCGCACAGAAATATAAAGATGTGAATGAGCGCATACCTAGAGTTCTAGAGGAGCACCTTCACCGGATCTTCTTTCTGCACGTTTCGAAACATTGCTAAGAATATACGGTTTTGAGTACCATGCTGAAATGGTCCGTTCAAGCTCGATAATCTTATTTGTGCTTTCTAAACCGTGTAGTGGCATCTAGTTATATTTATTTCAATTTCAGCGCCTTGTTCTGATCACGGCTACCAATACGGTGCGTTTAATAATTCATAGGAATAAACAGAAGTTAATTCGCAGTTTTACAGTCAAACTCCACGCAATGACACGAGTGTTTCTTGTAACGATTATTCCGGCGTGACAACAATTCCTCGTACGAGATGCCCTGTGACAAGTTGACCTCCATGACGAGTTCACCTATGACCAGTTGGCCCGTAGCAACCGGGCTTGTGGCGAGTTCTCCAAGACCCGCAGAGAGGAAACCCCCTTCCGAACAGATTTGAGTAGGGGTTAAACTTCTATAGCGGGAGAAAGGTGCCGTCTCAGACACACCGAGACGTCGCAACCGGGTAACAGGGGAATTCGTCCTTCCCCTCTTCTTTAACTGCTTTGGTGATGGCTATGGGGAGGGCTGTGACGTGCTTCGCGTCCGTCGCTCTAATAGGCTCCAAGAGACGGTAGCGTTCGCTTTTTGACAAGTTCGATAAAACGAAGTGTAGCAAAATCCTGTAACGCAGGTTCCTTTAGCACATGTTCCAGTAAGGCGTTCCTCTAAAGCAGGAGCGTTGCACGAAAATTCGTCAGCAGAAGAGGCCCATGGAGAAAACGGGTAGTACTCGATCTCGTATCTGGGTCCCTCCGACTGTGAATCCGATGCTGAATGCACTGCGCCAGCAGCGCGCGCGGGAAAAATGAGTCTGAAATGTTGACACAATCAACACCACCTACAGGGTGTTTCTAAACGCTATTCGGGTGTAAAAAATATTGTATAAAGAAATGAGTGAAATGCACTAAAACTTTACACAAATGTATTTATGTAGGGTATTGATTACACTTAAAGGGCAACTCCTGTCGAAAACGAAACCAAAATAAATTACTGGTACCGATTTAGTGGCACGAAATATGATCCCAGCCGAAATATTACGTCAAAGTGAAGCCGCGTACTCCACTAAAACCGATTTTAAAGACGCGGCGCCAGCAGCTCTTTAGCAGGACGCAAGCGGGTTAGCTTTTAGCCAAGGAACACTGGGGCATCACGTCGCCGTGGAGCTGCGGTTGATTGGTGGCACCGCAGCACCCTTGTGACGTCACGTCATGGCCGTACGGCTGATGATCAGTATTGCCATCCCTCTAGCAAATAGTTTCGTTTCTGCTGTAGACGCCTGAAGCCTAACTTTGAGCCGTGATATTTGTAAAACTACACACAATATCGAACAAAAAGTATACTTGAAATTCAGGGACTCTGCTTTAGCTGAAAACAATCGTAATCCCAAATTCAAAAATATTCACCGAAATTGCCGTCTAATTTTTATTTGAAAGAAATCTTTTTTGTGTGTGCCTTTTTTTGCTTTTTTAACAAGCATGCCAAAAGGAACTAATATGGCCAAAGAAAAAAATCAAAGCAAATCGTTTGTTTGACGCGTGAAGTCCACAATGTAGTTGGTTTTCAGATACATTGCTGAAATTACTAAAAAAATAGAATGTTTTAATACAAAATAAGATTATCTATCTATATACAAAAACATAGAAGCCAAAGACTTCAATAGCAGAAACAGCGCTGTAGAGGTGGGCTGTCCGATTCGTCGTCAGCCGAATGGTTTCAGCGGAGATGACTGCCGCTGCTCTGGTCGGAGTCAATGTCCGCCGAAGTTGCTATCAACTTCTCAGGTACGGTCGCCACATGTCACAGTAAATGTCCCTGAACTTGGTCGTGATGCTCATGTGGTTATGGTCCAAGAGCACGTAATTCCGCCGACTGCCCGTGTACCGGGGCCAGCTCTTGTTTGCGATGACGGGCAGGTCGCTGAAACCAACCACCGGTCAGTGGACATAACCCGAAACAGGGAGTAGAATAAAGGCACATAAAAGGAATGGAAAACACACAGCGGCTCCGAACACCTGATTTCAGTTACCGGTCGGTGCGCAGTCCTGATGCACGGACGCACTCAACCGCAACTGACCGGATTGAAGTTCGAAGAACAGGAGTCAAAGTTGCGTAAAGGTTGAGACGGCAGAAAGTTAATCTGCCTTCAATAGACCGTTCCATTAGGGTCATAGCAGAGAGGGTAAAAAGAGAAAAAATTCCCTCCCCCTCTCACCCGAATGTCGTCTGCTCCGCCGAGTGGGCTGTACCTAGCATCCGGCTGGCGTACAAACTCTGTTTAAAATCGCGTCATTTTAGAAATTTCAAGCGCAGATGCGCAGAATTTGTTATGCCAGTTGTCGTGTAATACTATGCTAGATAAAAAGACTAACAGGGTCCAATTGCGCTGTTACCTGCGTGCAAATAAAAAAAAAATAGGGAAAACTGTGTAAGATTGGCCGGTCTCTCCGGCGAAAAGTAAATCCGGTTCCTGTACCTTTTTACTATACAAAGTTCGTACTGGTGTAGGCCTTTAGCGACCATGAGTGGAAGTCTGAAATAATAAATAAAAACGCGCTCTTCTGCCGCAGTACACGCAGTAGTTGAGGGTAGTACTGCCGACTGACTCAAATGCTATTTAAGTAACGGAAAAAAGATATGCTAGTTGATCCTTTCCCGAAATAGAGCAACAGAGAGCTATAGGCTGATTATGGAGTAGCCATAACTATTCTAAGAACGCGAACCACTTCACAACGGCAATCACGAGCGAGATTTCGATGTTCGTTACAGCCCGCCGGTACAGCCCAAAGATGGAGAACGGCAACCTCCCGGTTTGTCGTCTGCTAGCGGAGTCGGGCGCGCGCCCTCTCTCTCGTTTTACCCCGCCGCACCCGCTGAATTTCCCGGATGTATGGAGAGGGCGCTGCTGTCGAACAAAATGGTGCCGTCCAGAGAGCGCTAAATGGAACGGTCTATACATGAGAAATTTAGCCATTTCAAGGCCACTGCAAGACTGTGGTCTTTGGTGTGCATCCGGCGTAAAGGTTACACGACTGCACACCTGTAAGGTGCTTCATTCAGCTCTAAACTACAGGTTAAGAAGCATGTTCCGCCTTGGGCGCGGCCTTTCTTCTTTTGATTGTGCTTCGTCGCAAACGTCGCGAATGCCGTACTCCTATCCTAGCCTTTCGCCGTGCATTGCAAGGCACGGCGATAGGATATGAGTTCGTGCTAAAGCTTCTGCTGGGTTTTTAACCTGTCACCTAAGTGCCCTCGGCGCCTTGTACAGGCAACTTTTTTTCGGCAAGTGATATCACGAAGAGTGGCTGATTTTTTTCTTCGTAATCCGGTTGCCGTTAATCATCGTTAGCAACCTCGTTTCCATGCCTCCTCTGTGTTTCGTCGGCCATGTTGTTTTACGGGGATGATTACAGTTCAGGCTAGATGTCGCTAAGCAAGTCTGGTCTTAGTGGTGACGAAACAAAAAATACGATTAGCGGAATCCTCGGCTTCATAGACCCTTTTTTATTTTTTGTTTTAAGCGCCGGAAGGAGGTGCTGCTGACAATTTACGTTGCCGCGAAATTCCGGTAAAATGAGAGGACAAACTATCCCCACCATAGCACCGTTCCTTCTAACGTTCGTGAAATAATTAATGGTCAGATCTCTGGTGGTTAGCTAAAGGAGCGGTTAGATAGAGATTTATTTTAGTTTTGTTACTTTTCTAGGACCATCCCGATCCCATCTTATGTTGTGCAGCACAACAGGAAGACCTCGTTAACGCCACATTCACACCAGCGATTAAACCGTATCCGCCACGCGGTTGCGAACGCAGTTGTTTAAGGATACACGACAAATTCACACGCATTTGATGATGAAACCGAGCGCATCCGCTTCGCGGTTGCGATTCGAACGTCAGTGTCAATGCAGCTTAAATTCCCAAATTTGTCACTTCTGTAGAACTTCATGCTCTCAGGACTTTTTGACAACAACAGGCCTGGCGAAACAGAGCGACCGGAAGTTTCTTGGGAGCCAAGAGCCCGTTGTGTTTATAAGCAGAAAGAGGGCCTATAAGATGGTTCTTGCTGTCCTTTTTCTTATTATTAATTTCGTAGACATCATCGAAGCTTTACCAACTTGGCTCTGTCAGTTCAAAAAGTGTGTTTTGGAGTTCTCTACCTAAACTAGTGGTCCCGTACAGTCCCAGCACGCCAAAAAACAAAACTCTGCTCGAACAACGTATGCTTTCTTGAGGTATCGTAGATTCGTGTTATACGTTCCTTTTGATTAACACCGTCGCGAAAACAAAATCTAATACTCTCATCACTGCAGACTGGTAACACGTTTGCCAGAGAATATATTGGGTGGCATTACATCAACACAGGTCTTACCCTGCCTTTAGCGCTAATCATGTGCTACCGAAAACTTAATGCGGGGAGCAAGTCGTCTGCTCCTTTTCCAGGGTTGCGGTGACATCAGAACACCGAGCTGTGATTGGCTCTGAATGAAGGATAGTGGGTAGAGCTGCCTTGAGGTCTACCCACTATCCTTCATTCAGAGCCAATCAGTGCTCGGCGTCTTTCTGACGTCACCACAGCCCTTGCAAAAGAAGCAGACGAACTTACGCTCCGCATTACCATACTTAAATGAGTCACTTCTCTTCTAACCGTCAATGCAGAACCACGGTAGTCACCACTTTTGAGGCGCTGCCTCAAGGTTACGAAGTGTGTGCTTATGTATGTGCGTACATGTGTAAGTGTGTGTTGTAACACAGAACGACAAAAATATAGGATACCTCAGCATCAGCTTCTAACTTGCTGAACGCTGATTAAAGCATAAAGAACAAAAGCACCATCTCAAAGCAAAACCACGAAGCACAAGCAGATTATCTTGGTTGTACAGGACATATAGCATCCAAAAGAAAGCAAAAACACGAGACACGCATTGCGGTTCAGTTTCAGACCCCTGCAAAAAGCGGTGGAGTAAAACTGACCCGTTCTTCCCGAAACTGCCCCATATGCCGGCCATTACTTCGAAGAAATCCTCTTCGTCCACGTTGTACAACCCCGCTCCAAAAAGTACAGCGAGGTCGTCCATCTGTGTGGCACCGTCACCTGTGACAGAGAAGAACGAAGGGCCCATGGAAAGAGGATGTCCTGACGACCAACGAGGCGCAGGATATGGCCAATGCCTATTATACCGTCATTATTGCACACCGCTGAAAAGCACCACAACCTTATTAAACTAGAATTGCTTCAAATGTCGCGTATCCCACCGGTTTTGTTTATTATTTCTTTTTACATAACTGAGGTTGAAGTTATATTTTGTTTCAACTGCGACGTTACGAACCACAGAGCCAATGCGGAGCGCAGGTTTTTCTGCTTTTTGCACCAGGGTTGCGACGATGTCAGAACGGCGAGCTCTTATTGGTTGATTGAAATAAATAGTGGGTACAGCTCGAGGCATCTAGCATTAAGGTCTACTCATTATCTTTTCAATCAAAGTTAATCAGAGCTCGGCATTGTTCTGACGTCACGGCAACTCCTGCGCGAGAACCAGACGACTTGCAGTCCGCATCATACAGCACTGGCGAAAGCGGAACGTCACGTCGTTCGCCGTGTTTCTGCGCGTGCTCATTCACCTTCTCATCAAATCGAGCACAGAGAGTGCACAGCGACTTTCCGCTTTTCAGTGCAGATTGTTGGGCGACTCGGCACTGGGTATTCAAAAACATAGTAGCGCTTGAGACGAGGACAAAGGGAGAAGTTGGACAGCGTTCGCTCTGTGTGTTGCCCAGTCTCCTCCTTTTGTCCTTGTCTCAAGCGCTACCATGTTTTTGCGCTTTTCGTCTGTTTACATGGGCTTCCGCGTCGCTCGGACATGGGGTAAAATGGATGTATATTCAAGCAATTGGCTCTTCCAAGTGCTTTTTTAAAAAGTCGACGCTCCAGATTTCTTGGAATGTAGTCCCTTTCTTATATAGTCCTTTTTACTTAAGCGATTCTTCGGTGCGTCGTTCTTGGTGCTGACAAATTTCAGCATGAAGGGCAACTTCGCCGAAAACTGAACTCAAAAGCCGCAATCAAGTACGTATTCGGGTCACATAATCCCTCGCTTACTCCTTTCTTCTTTTTTTTCGTTTTTTTTTTCTCTTTCGTCCAATTAAGTTATTACGGCTCGCTTTCCGGGGTCCTTTTCGCCACCGTCAAGCACGACTGCTCAAGAATTATCTCACCTTAAAACAAAAACTGGTTCCCCTGAAAACCGAGTATCAGTCTTTTTTGCATGAGCGCCACTGTTGTCACAACTCAAAGGGCATCTTGGGCGAGTATACTGGTTTCGCGCATAGAAAAGTAAAGGGCGATGGTTCACCAGATGAACTCTGGCAGGCTTTCGAGCAGGACTCATGACCAAGCTTGCGAGACATTAAAATTTAGCTTCATTGTGAGACCCCACGTGGTGCCTAACGGTAACCGTGTTAAAAACGCCCTATACATAGCATCAATCCCGTGACCACGAGCATTAGGTTGTTTGACCTCGATGCTTCGGTGTAGGCGGGAATGGTACCTTAACAAGGCCAAATACTGTGGTAACTACGAAACGTTTACGTTTTAACTTTGGCATTCGCGCGTCACGCTGTTAGACTGCTCTGTAATATTAGACTATTCGATAGGGTGAGCAAATACTTAAGCTTCTAAATGCGGTTCGAACAACCCATTGCAAACAAATATATCGGTCCTAGAAAAAATACCGTATACGTTCCCGTGTTTCTAATTAGCATTAATTAGTACTGTTACATTACCGTCTATAATTATTCTGGTGAATGCTGCATTCGTACAGTCCTCGGTCAATTCTTTCACATAGGTCTCCGGACAGCTTCTGAGAGAGGGCGCAAAGCGCGAATGTCCCACAGCGTTGGGGATGAGTATGTTACGTGAAACTTCCCTAGACACCAACTCAAATCTATGATATCGCGCCCATGCAGTGGGCTACTGTCGGCAACCTGTTTTCTGCGCACGTATACAGTGCACACTCCCGGTGTGGACACACCCGTGCTTGTTCAGCGAATAGGTGTACACTCTCGTAAGCAGTAGCGACACGTTTCACCGACCTACGAGATTTCCCGCGGGAAGCAGCGTCGTGGACGGCTTGTACCGGAACAGAAAGTAGTAGACGTCGTTGCCCGCCGCCGAGTAGATGTCGGCGTACAGCTGCATGGGGCACACGAACAGCATGTCTCCCAGAAGGTCGGCGGCCAGCCGGAAAAACGTCACGTGTCCGGCTGCCTGCCTCAGCTGCTCGTAGTACCGCCTGGACGTAGTTTAAGGACGCGGTCGCACTGCCAATGCATTGTACCAAGGCGTGTTTCTTCCCGATATGACTGTCTTGTCGCGTTGGTCACACAAAATCTGTTTGCAGACATGTTCCCAGCCCTCATGCTTATGACGCTAACATGCTTCAAAAATGCCTCAGGCATGTCCGCAGACAAACCTGTCATCGTGCTTACAGCCCGTTTGCTTTTGTGTGATGTATGTATGGGCATGCGGTTGCGGCTTTAGGGGCTGTCATCCGGACGTGGGTATGGAGCTTTGACAGAAAGCTGCTAGAGGGTTTCTGGTGACCAATCTCGCAGCGTTTCGACAAATCCGAGTCGTAAAATATTTACCGGAGAGCGTGAGTTGCTTTCTTGGTTCAAATATGTCAAAATACAAATGAGCTTTTTTAAAAAAAGAAGAAACAAAAACGTTCCGCAAATGGGTTTTTGGTTGAGAGATGTACAATTCGCCATTCTTGTGCATGCATGATGCAGATCTAATCAAGAAAATGCAATATACTGCACTACCCCCCCCCCGTTTTTGTTTTTATTTTACTCTGTCCTTACTGTTTCCTAACGGCATGTTAGGTAGTGTGGGCTTCCAGAATAGCGCGTTATTTTGCGTAAAGAATACGCTGCATCAGCAAACGTAATAAAGTTTCAAACCTCGTAAATCTATTTAAGAAGCCTACTGACGTTTGTGGATTCAGTTGCAAAAATTATAAAAGCTGTTCCTACTTCAGAACAAACAATTTCTCGATAGTACCAGCACTTATCTTTCATGAGGAAATATTCACCACCTGTTAGAAAACGAAAGAGCCTTTTAGGATTTCTATATCCCCACACCTTTGGAAGCAAAATAAGTGCTCCCATACCTTCTTTTTTTTTTGGGGGGGGGGGGGGGGGGGGGGGGGGAGGGGGGGGGTGAGATTTATTCTAAAATAACAAAAACAGTTTTCTTTAAACTACGTTAGCGGGTTAAAGTTCCATTGAGCGGGCGCTGAGGACTGCATGCCCTACGGCCACATGCTCCATCCGTGCTTCCAAATAACGTACCACGAGCCCGCTAGCAACTGAAATATGTCAAGAACGCCAAACTAAAACTTCCATCGTACAAACATGCATATATTCCTCCATCTGCCGTCGTTATTAAATAATTACAATTAATTGCCAGTCGTCACCGTATGATCGTAGTCAGGTTGGGCACCCTGTAGCCTTGCAGGTAGGTCAAGAGCCTAGCTTCGATGTCCCCGAGACTGTCGGTGCTCAGTTCCTTCTCGGTCAGGTTGCGAAACTCGTGGGCTACGAGCAGATCGCCTTCGTTCTGGACGTTCCCGACGAGCACCGCGCCCGCCGTGCCTCCGGACTCCCTCAACAGGCCGCTGAACTTGTCCGGCAGGTAGGCGTCTCCGTAGACCGGGTAGAACTTTCCTTCTAGAGCGTCCCGAAGCCTTCCAGTCGGAGTGCGGTGGATGCACTGCACCAGAGACACCGGGTCCACGTCCTGGCGCTGCCCCACGTCGGGGCAGTGGAGGCCCCTGGCCGTTCCCTCGATGGGATCCCCGCGCTCCGCCGGAAACGGCATGAGCGGCGAGCCGCTGTGCAGGATGGCGCGGCGCGTGAAGCCTCGGGTCATGGGCGACAGGAGGTTGTAGCCCGCTGTGGTGCCGCCGGTGCCCTGGCCCAGGAGCACGACGTTGTGCGGGTTACCGCCGAAGCTGGGGATGTTGTCGCGCACCCAGCGCAGCATCAGGGTCTACGAGCGAGCACGGGGAAAGGCAACGATACCTTATCGTATACGTGTTGCGCAACCCAAGAACAACTCCCAGAAAACAATGGCGTCGCTCTACACTCCAGAAACTCTGGAGCCTCTGCTCTCCCGCAAAGCATTCAAGAAAGACAATCTCTACAATATGCGGAGGAAGCCTGACGTCGAGGCTCCACATATGCTTAGACCTAAAAAAAGAAAACAGTGTGCGTTATGAGCATGACGTTTCACCATGCTCAGTGCCAAAGCGCAGATCGAATTTCTTTTGGCGAATTTCACCGGTCGTTTTGGAGCGCGCCGGGATCAGCAGACCAGATCCGAGATGGCGCACGCAATCCGAACGGAGTCGCCCCGCCTCCAGGTCCCCAGTGGAACACGACCACTCCTCCGGGATCGGCGGATGTCTTCCCGTCATTCACCTTCCCAAGAATCCCCTTCCCGCGGTCCCTGATCTCGAAGCACCTTTTCGCAATCACGGCGCTAACAACACGTGTTCAACGCACGAGCCAAGTTAATCATATGTGAAAGATGCGTGTCGATAAACGATGTGCATCGGCGTGCCCCAGTTGCCTCTTCATCGGAATACTCGTGAACAGTGTCAAGTGCGTCTCATTTTTCGGCCTCTTCAGCCAAGTCCGAAAAGGCAGTCGAGTTGATGTGGGCCACACAAGCAATCCTTGTCGCTGCAAACTCGAGCGGCTACAGCTGGAAGAGCTGCTCGAGAAACTTGACGACGAACTGAGATCAAGCAGCAGCGCTAGTAAAGCAGACGGTATACCTCCCGAGAGGTCATTACGAATTCTTCCGCGGAAAGATGCCCGGCGAGAATGGTGTGCGCCCCGAGGGCTGGCCAGGCTGGCTTCGGGTCGAGTTTGCCGAAATCGGCGGAGCGACTTTTCTCAGATCCGGATCGAAATTCGGAGTCGGAGCTGATCCAAAACGACAGGTAGAACACGTCCGCCTGAATTTTAATCGGCCAAGTTCAGCTGGTGAAATTCACCGACTAAAAGTTGCTTAGAAGGTTACATACTTGTCAGTGCTTAGTGACTATCAAATATGATGATGCCAGAAGTTGTTTGCACCAATGTGGCCAACACTTGTCAAAGGTTAACTATGTTTTAAAACTTTCAGCGTATTTCTTTTTTCCTTTTCAATTACCTTTTGTCTGTTTCAAGCGCTCTGTTTATGTGGAAGTAATGGACCTCTTCCACATACCGACGGCACCAGGCGGTGGCTGCACGAACTAAAAATCGAGGAAGTGACCTTCCTACGCTACCAATCGATAATGGGAGCTACGCCTACCAGTTTCTTCAATCTCTGGGCTGCGGCGCGTGCCCAGCGCGACTTTAAAGAAGGGCATCCGTGGCGTCCACCCAAACTTCGTGCTTTTCTTTCCGTCCACTTTCTCTTCTTGTGTAACACAATTCTATACATGCTGCAATTCCGTGTTCTACTCGGTGATCCACAGCCTCCTTCCGAATTTCCTCGATTTTTCGCGCCGACTTCCGCCGCTCGGCATCGGGCGCTCGCGCGTGCACAGAACGCTTCTTGGAAAACGTCCATTAGCCTTGCTCTCATCGGCAAAACTTCCTGTGTTGCTTTTTTACGGGTGCACGAAACGTTCAGCAGCAGCCCTCTGGCGATATGAGAGAGGGGTGTAGGAAAAAATGGTCCCGGACAAAAAGGACACGAAATAATGGGTTAAAAGGGACCCAGACGAAATGGTCCCGAGCAAAACCCGGACAAAATGGTTCCAAGTAATTCGTTGACACTAAAATATACACAATGTATATTTCAATTTATTTAAGGTTTTTATGATATATTTTAGCAAACAACTAAAAAGCCCAAAAGTTAATTTAAAGCATATTATTTCTCACTCGGCTCTAATACTCTTATTCGCATAAGTCAGAGCACTTACAAATAAGCTGGAGCTTGAAAGTCACTACACAAATACACACGCACACACTAAAAGCGCAAGGTCGCGAGGCACACTGAGCTTGATTGCACCAGCAGGTGATAACATGTACCAAAATGTCGACCAACACAATTAGTGCGTTTTGTTTTCAGCACTGCCTGCTTAGTCCTATAAGTATAGGCGCAATGGCGCCGCAAGAAAACTCATGCACTTGAGGAATCAGCAGGCACGTAGTCCAGGGGGGGGGGCCCATGGGGCCCGACCCCCCCCCCCCCTCCAAAATCTTCCATTTTGCTGGGACTTCCTCTCCCCCCTCCCCCTCATACAGCATTTTGTCATAAGCGGGCCCCCCCCCCCCCCCCCCCCTAAACAAAATCCTGGCTACGTGCCTGGGAATCAGACATTATCATGCACATACTACATCTTTGTGATGGCGTGTGTGCAATCGTGTATCGCTACTGCGTGATGCCCGCTAAAAAACCGAGGCTAGCAGTGGCGCAGCACTGGCAAAATTTCTCATCTACAGCGTAAACCTGTGTCGCTTCTCAAAGGAAGACCGACCTTACCCTGTATAAACACGAACGCCAATTGTGTGATGGCGTATTATGGAACAACGTTTTTTCTTTTCTTGCTGAATATGTAAAAATAATATAGAGACATTATTTGACATATTTACTTCTACATTGTTTCTAGTTAAATTTTTCCTTTTCATCAACTCAGCTACTGGCGTGCAAAGTATTTTTATTTGAATATACAAACTTTAAAATGGCTCGCGTTTTATAACTTAAAAAGGGGGGGAAGGAAGAGAGGGAGGTGCAACGTTTTCCGGAATTCGGTCAAACATTTCTGGAAGTTGCCCTCTGACACTTCTAAAGAAAAGAACAGAAAATCGATTTCGCCTGCGTGTCCTAGTTATTGTGTAAAAAAAAAAGGGATAAATATTGGCATTTCTGGCACCCCTCAACTCACTCCCAGTCTTCAGGGTCACACCTGGTCGCACCCCTAGTGACGTAATTCGGGGTGCCGTGTAGTTTTCCGTGTGCTTTCTCGGAGGACGTTTCCTCTCCCTCTCTCTGCTGAGATTAGCGGGCGTTATGCTGCAGCTTAGAGCCGAGCGACGTCACGTAAGCTTCTTGCCGTAGTTCCTTTGGCTGCCACTCGCGGCTGCAAGTAGGGGAAAAAGCTCGACTTTTGCTTTGCGATTATGCAGCGGAATCGCGACATTTTTTAATGAAGGAGATGTTTTCTCTATCCTCCGGGACACGATAAACAACATAAAAATGATGAGATGAAAATTATTTTAATCTTAAAATTGTTGTACCCCCTCCCCCCCCCCCCCCCTCCCCTTTTAAGTATTCAGAGAAACTTTTTTTTTCTGTGTCCGAATGGCAGCAATTACAAACAATCGACCAACCCTTGAAGAGCAAACAAACTATGCCTCGAAATCGGCCTGGAAGAATTTTGTTCGGGTTTGAGCTGGGGAACATTCTATCCGGGCCATTTTAACCGGGACAATCTAATCCGGGGCCATTTTGTCCGGGACCATTTTGTCCGGATCCCTTGAGAACGATATTTCTGAAAACGCATATTATGTCCGCATGTCTTGAACTAATGGTTCGATGTCGTCCGTTTTGGGACCGCGGTGTCCCGGATACACCGGTTTCAACGCAGCTTCACCAAGTCCCCTGGCCAAATGAGGCGCTACAGAACCAAACAAAATTATACAGATAAACATATATCAAATACAGTGAAGTGTCGTTAATGTAAATACCTTCACCCCCCCCCCCCCCCAAAAAAAAAAAAAAGAGACGAGCGTGTGACGTAAATAGAAATATAATGAGAGCTAAACAAAAAGGAGAGACGAAGACAGACGAAAGTCCCTTGATAAAATTCGCACTTACAAGTATCGCCAACCATTGTTAGCATATATTGCCCATTGGAGCAGCAGCTAGACTAAATGGCGAGGACTTTTGAGGAGGGTTTATTTAGTATACCATGGCCATGACCAGCTGTACAACCAGAAGTTTAAGTCCTATTGGTGACGGGCTGTAAGATATTTGAACCAATTAATTAATCGCCCGCTAAACTCTTATTCGATTACGGTCAGTAAAATGGACCCTTTTTATGGGCTGGTCACGGGCACCATCCTCCTCGCTATCGAAACTCTAGATCAACTATTCATCCTTGGCTCCTTGGTAAGAACTTTGCAATTTTTCGGGACTCCGTGCTTTAAAAGTACACAACTACGTAGTAAACAAACTTTTATTATAATTAAGAAAAAAACATGCAGTGTCGTGTAATGGCTCGTTCACACACTTGCGTTTGCTCACGACCGAGTACTTGAAGTCTCTTTATATATGGACATCACATAAATGACACGGAGTTCTCTGCGGACAACTTCGGACACTCCTCAAGCGAAGTTCGGTATAAACGGGTTTCCTTTATAGACAGTATTTGGTTGTACCAAGCACTGTCTGCAGAGAGTGTTTGTATATCACCAATGTGCGAGGCCCTTTATACAAGACAGAAGCGCGCCTGAGAAAGTGTATGAAGACTTTCCTCGTGTGACGTATCAGCGGCGGTTTAGGTTCGTTACCTGGTCCAGGAGGCCCATGTTACCGGGCGACTTCTGCTGCTCGCTGCGCATGAAGCCAAACGCACCGAGCCGGTAGTTCGGCACGACCACCACCGCCCGGGCCTTGTCCGCAAAGCGGCTGGCATCGGCGAAGGAGTAACTGTTGCTGCCGTGCCCAAAGTCCCAGCCGAGGAGGAGGACGAACACGGGGTTGAGCACGCCGCCCCGCGTCCCGGCCACCTCTTCGTTCCTCTGGGGCGCGTAGATGTTCAGGTGGAGGCAATCCTCGGACGCGTTGCCGGCCTCGATGAGCGTTCGGTCGAAGGTGAAGTAGGAGGGAGCCCTGCACGCACGGATACCGCATGTTCCGGGCATCCAGGATCCGGCTGGATGGCGGCATGGGCTCGGGCTTGCGGAACCGCAGGTGTCCCACGGGGGGCTTGGGCGTACGGGATGCCGTAGAACACGTCCAGTTTAAGGACGGGCGAAGTGCGGCCCTGAACTTGGCCGATGTCCAGGGTCACTTCCGGTTCTTTGTACACCTCCACGAAGACAATAAAGAAGGCGTACATGAAGAAGACAGCGAAGGCGGTCCCTGACATGCCGTGCCACCATCTGGAAAGAATTTTGCATTTTATAAATGGTTTTGTCGAAAGGCAGTTGATGTAGGGTAAGGCCAGTTAGGCGGGGCAGAAATGAGACATAGTGAAAAATGAATTTTTTGTGTGTGTGTGTGTTTTGCGCCCTCTGTATTTGAATCTTGCAATATGATTACTTGAATATTTTCCCGACTTGTACCGGAACTTATCCGCTTTACTTCATGAAAAAGTCTGCTACACTTGGTCTAAATACGCCGACGTAAAAAAAAAATAAATGCGCAGCTATCGTTCGAATGTATGCATGATATTCAGGCCACTTCCGGCTGCCATGACAGGGAGCCGAGAACACTTCCGGTTTGTGTTTTGTTGGCATGCTTTTATAGGGCAACATCAGCATGTTTCGTGTGTTACGCAATTAAATCTGTCTGTTGTTGCGTTTTTCCGCGTCCACTGACTTCTTGAAGTTGCCGTAATGCTTTGCAATTGACTGGGCAACTTTGCCGTGGCAGATCTTCGCGAAATAAAAGAAGCAGCGAGCCGCGGCCATCGAACGCCGAACAGTCTATCACCCGTTCGTCGATTTCACGCTCAGCACAAAGATCGCTTAATTTTGAAATCAAAAATGCACACATCCGTCTTTTCCGGACAGCGAATATACTTGACCGAACGAATCACACTTGAGTTCTTGTGCAAATAAAGAGTCATTGAAATATTAATTTATATTCGCCCCCAAATAAAACTTTTTTTTTAGTTTAGCCCGAACGCCGGTTCTCATAACACGAACCAACTTGGCACTGCATAAAATATTTATACGTAATAAGATAGCTCTTATAGTTTTTTCTTTTTTTTTTTTCTTTACCTTAGAGCAGAATTAATTGCTGACGCCAATTTTTTGTGTGCATGCGAGCTTGTGAACAGACGGTTTATGTGAGAGTCCTGAACAAACTCCAGCAGAAACCCGGACGAACTAAAAAATTATAAGAAAAATAAAACGTTAATTTTGAGAGTTTCTGTCAGCGCAGGACATCAGAATGGGAGGAATCTTTTCGCATGGGAACCGAACCTGGGGGTTCGGTTCCACGTCAATTTAGAAGTTCAAGAACCCGATGTTTTTTTGTTGTTTTTTTTTCGCCATGTAATTAAGCGTCTATTTATGACACAATCAAAGCAAGACGTGAAACAGAATCGACTGGTACTATCCTTTAGATTTTATTGTTCGCCCACATCGTCAAACACAACGGCACTTGTGTGTCTGCCCAAACAGAACAGTTTGAACAAATGCGATATGCCCCGAGGATGGTCACGTGATCGTCACGAGTCAGACGTGAAACTAGTTTTCCTGCCTCATCGCCTGGGTTCTAGAATCTAAAGTTATCCTTTTGACGTTCGCGTCTGCACCTGTATCCGAGTGAATGCCGTTCACGGGATCGCCGCGGTGAGTCGACGTTGTCACCACCCCGATATCTCCACTCGTTGTCGAAAACGCAGCACTCGCTTTTTCCCAGGCACGATCGAGCACGAGTGGCACAATCCTTCGGAAACTCCTTCAACTACGTCCGACAGGCGTAGCGAACTTTCGCTTTGACTAGCTAGAACACTCACGACGACGCCGCTCCGTACATAATGGGACGCTGTTCTCACACACGCTCTCCCGTGCGCGAAAAACACGAAACAAATACCTGCTTCGGTTGATTCGTGGGCGTATAATCGCTCATTCACACTGGAAGCGGATCCGTGTTCGCAAAGCGGTTGCGAACGCGGTTGTATAAAGATCCAGTACAATTGCACGCGCACTTGATGTCATCGAGTGCGCGTGCAATTGCACTGGATCCTTGTACAACCGCGTTCGCAACCGCTTTGCGAACACGGATCCGCTTCCAGTGTGAATGAGCGGTTACTTCGTTGAATATCTCACGTGTACGCAAGTTTCCACTGGGCCGTCAGGTATACGGCCACGTAACTTTCGCCACGGAGGTCAGATAATGCGAGATGATCAGGTGCTTTTTCTTGGCGGCGGATGGTTCAGAAACACACGCGGATCTATCTTACATAGGTCCGGTTTTCGACATACCTTTTCCGATTTTCCGCGAGTAACACTTAAAAAAGACGCGCTGCTCTTTCTTACCCATTGAAACATATATACAAGAAGCTGGTCAACCGGAAGTTATCTCGGACGCAGGAATTTCCGCCATTACTTCTTTATGCTTACCTTGTACTACCATGTATACAATAAAGTTGTTCAAGTAAGAGAATTTTCAAGAAGCAAAACGCAGCAGTATCGCAATCAACAGGCGTAAAGCGCGAAACACATGTACGACGAAACGTTCCGATCCGACGTGCGGACTGCCGGAATGACCTTGGGGGGAGAGGGTTTTCGTAGCATCGGAGAGCGTTGAAAACCCTCGCCTCCGACCGTCGTATTGCGCGGTCGGACGTCGGATAGGACGGTTTCGTCGTACATGTGTTTCGCGCTTAAAACCCGTGAAACGCGCAAAAGGCGTAAAATGATTTTTTTCGGGTTTAATGTTTCTTCCTAAGCTTAACTTTTTTTTTTCTTTTTCTAGGTCTAGGATTGTTTGGGCGTACAAAAGAAAAAAAACCAGTCAGGGCTTAATGACGCAAAAATGACACGAAGAAAGCACTTGAAAGTGCGCATCAGCAACGTCACTCTATTCGCGCTGCAGCGAACGCCTATCTAAGGACGTACTTCAAAGACGTGCACAAAAACTCGACGAAAGTGAAGAGCCTTTATAAAAGTCGGTTGCCATCCAATCAAAAATTTCTTCCCGACAAGCGAAAAAAAAAAAATGTCGTCGTCGATTATTTTGTGTGAATGTTGAAGTAGCTTTTTCGACTCACCTACAATGATGTGCAGTGAATAGTTTACATTTTCTATGAAAGAATTAAAACAAAGGAGGAAGATTATTCAGAGTAAAGGTAGATTGTCTGCACACTCTTTGTTCACTGAATAAGCCGGTAAAGCAGAAGCGTTCGGTAAACCGCACGACGAGCGCCAAATGTGACTGGCAGTGCCTGATGTGCCAAACACTATGTAGTAAGGAAGCTCCCGTTTAGTGTGTATCCAATAGGGATGTCGCGAACCACCCTAGGTTCGATTTCGAAAGGTTTCGATATTTGCGAAGCAAACTGAGGTTCGATTTCGAAAAATTTCGATATTTTCGTACCGACCGAGGTTCGATTTCGAAAAATTCGCAACTTTTGACCACAGCGGTGTTTCGAATTCGAAAATTTCGAAGCTTTCACGGTTTCTAAAATTTCGAATTCAAATATTTCGAATATTTTTTTACTTCAGGTTCGATAAATTCGAAGATTTCGAAATTCTTTGTAAAACAAATTCGAAAACTTCGAACACTTCGAATTTTTATAGACATGAAGTTCGAACAATTCGAAGATTTCGAATTTCTTTTTGCATGAAGTTCGAAAAGTTCGAAAGTTTCGATTCTCTTTTAACGTTAAATAAAAAAAAAAAATAAAAAAAACTTCGAAGATTTTGAATTTTTTTTTTAATCCAAGTTTTTCCACAGTTTCAGTTACAAATAACGTTTTCACGACTCACTGGTTTTCACAAAATCAAGTTTAGAAAAGTTAGGGTGTGATATCTAGATTCTGCGAAGTTGGTTAGGCAATTAAATGAGGCGACGAGTGTCCCGGACGTGCTAGAATATTTGCCAGTGCCAGCCCTGGGGGGGGGGGGGGGGGGGGTCGGGGGGTCTTCAACCTGCATCACGCAGTAGTGATTGCACGAACACACTGCTTTACGAGACTCATCCAGTTCGAAACGGCCAGGGGCAAGCAGGAGGTTGAGTCTCAGAAAAACTTTGATGCGACCTCGCAAACTAGCTCGCCACCCTTTGCACGCTGGTAGTAATCCGATCCGGTGAAGTTTATAATTGTCCTGGAGGTTTATTTTCTGGGACGGAGGAATCGCCTCGCAAAAAGCACAAAAGCCGACACAACTCGAGGTCGAGGAGCGTTCTACCATACAAGTGGCGTCGGAAGAGGAAAAACGGGGGGAAAGAGGGTAACGAAGGGGGGGGGGGGGGGGGGGGGGGGGCGGCGGTGCTTCAGCCTCCTTCTTCCCCTTGCAGGTATTTCGGACTGTTAAAGAAAACAATACGGGGAAAGAGGGCGTGGTCGAGCTTATTTTTATGCATATGCATAGCTACTGTCGCTCTTCACTGCATAAAAGGTTGCGTAGATGGTCATTGTTAGAAACTCGTTGTCAGAAGGCACTGCTCGTCACATGCTTAGTGGTTCGGAAGTTCAAAGCTGTCTTTTCGACCTAAACACCTGTGCCGATAGTTACAAAAAAAAAAAAAAAAAATGCGAAAATAAAAAGCAAAAAAAAAAAAAAACTATCAAGAATTCGTTGGAAGTGTTCTATTCTTGCATATTCAGAGGTTCAGAACTTCGAAACAAGTTTCTTTTACCAAAATGTGTCCAGGCTAAAAGAAACACGACCCAGGAACGTGAAGCGAAAAAAAAAAAGTTTTCTTTTAATGACGTGCTGAACTTGAACACTATTAGAAATCTTCTCCTATGAGTTAATTTATTCCTTAACGTGAAAAAACAATGAATATATTATTTTGTATTCTGCAGATGGCAATGATATGTACTGTCTGTGGTGTTAATTTAAATGCGGTACCTCAAACAACTTAGACGAAAATAAATATCAAGTTTAGGCCATAATTGCATGCAGATACATGTTTGGACATTTCTTCGAAACTCACGTTGAATAA